TGCCAGTACCAGGCAGTTTTGAGAACAGTGGCTTTGTAATACAGCTTGATATCTGGCATTGAGATCCCACCTACTTTGTTCTTTCTCAGGATCGCTGCCATCATATGCATGTTTAACTTATTGTATTTAACTGTATTCTTTTGTAACCCCTCATTTTACTTTTCCTAAAAACTTGTCCCTGGTATTCATTTAGTGAGCTTATATGTGCTGTCTCACAATTACAGTCCCCATTTCTCTTATAAACTGTGAATGTCTCACTGTGAGTGTGATTCTTGCTCAGAATATGCACGTTTTAAACAACATAGCCCTATATGTAAGCTAACTTCTTTAGCTGGTGCTAAAAGTAACATTTTGCTTTAATAATTAAGGAACATTTGCCTGTATTGACCATAATTGAGAGATGGCAGAGTATGTTCTCCAACAGATAGTCCCCTAATCAAGAACAGTTGATGAACTGCAGTTTTTCCTTTATAATCTTGACTTTTCAAACAAACCCTAGGAATGGTGCAATTTCATTACATTTTACAATAGTGTGATATATGCTATTTCCGTTTATCACATGGAAGAAAAACAGTTATTTTGTGGTTGGAAAATTGGGGGAGAGAATTCTCCTTTCCTGTTTTTTGTTTGCTTGTATTTTACTTCTTATTTTGTTTTCCCATCTCAAGATAAGGGAGAGAATATATCATACAAAAAGTTTTAAAATATCAAAATGAGGTTTTGACAAGTTTTTGAGGGAGATGAGGATTTGATTACCCTTACAAAGGTAGGTGATAGAAACCATTGGTAGACTCTTAAATGCACATGCAGATTTTATTGTAGCATGAACTTTTAGAAAATACTTCATTTGTGTTTATTACCATGTCATTTTTCTCACATGCTGTGTTCCTCCCAGTACTACTTATTGTTCATCTTTCCCTTATCGTCTTATTATAATTCTAAGAAATAAATTTTATGAAAGTATGTGCATTTTTCACATAGAAAGCAAATTCAGTGGAAAATATGCAGAAATTAATAAATGGCTCTATAAGGGAGACTTTAATTCTAAGTACTATGGTACAACAGTGAAAAGTAGTCTTTTCTATATTTAACTCAACAGCTTTTTATTTTATTTATTTATTTGTTTATTTTTAAAATACATTTTATTGATTTTTTACAGAGAGGAAGAGAGAGGGATAGAGAGTTAGAAACATCGATGAGAGAGAAACATCGATCAGCTGCCTCCTGCACACCTACTGGGGATGTGCCCGCAACCAAGGTACATGCTCTTCACCGGAATCGAACCTGGGACCTTTCAGTCCGCAGGCTGATGCTCTATCCACTGAGCCAAACCAGTCAGGGCTATTTTATTTATTTTTTAATTATTTTACTTTTTAAGGTTCAAATAGGTATGTTAATTTTTTAATGTATTATTAGAGGCCTGGCCTGGTGCACGAAGTTCGTGCACGGAGGGAGGGGGGTGTCCCTCAGCTCGGCCTACACCCTCTCCAATCCGGGACCACTGGCTCCTAACCACTCGCCTGCCTGCCTGATCACCCCTAACCACTCTGCCTGCCTGCCTGATTGCCCCTAACTGCTCTCCCCTACCGGCCTGATCACCCCTAACCGCCTCTGCCTCGGCACCCACCACCATGGCTTTGTTTGGAAGGATGTCTGGAAGGATGTCCAGAAGGATGTCTGGTCTAATTAGCATATTGCCCTTTTATTAGTATAGATTTTTTAAAATTTATCTTTATTGTTGAAAGTATTGCAGATGTCTCCCTTTTTCCCCCATTGGCCCCCGCCCCCTCCATCCTGAACCCGCGCCCCCAGCTCCAAGGCCTTCACTACAATACTTATTGTCTGTGTCCATGGGTTATGCATATATGCATGTAAGTTTTTGGTTAATCTCTCCCCACCCACCCACTAACTCTTGCCTTCCCTCTGAGATTCATCAGTCTGTTCCATGCTTCTGTGTCTCTGGGTCTATTTTGTCCACATAAAAGTGAGATCATGTGATACTTGTCTTTCTCTGACTGGCTTATTTCATTTAACACAATACTCTCCAGGTCCCTCCATGCTGTCTCAAAGAGTAAGAGATCACTCCTTTTTACAGCTTCATAGTATTCTGTGATGTAGATTTACCACAGCTTTTTTATCCACATCTACTGATGGTCACTTGGGCTGTTTTCAGATCTTAGCTATTGTAAATTGTGCTGCTATGAACATAGGGTGCATGCATTCTTTCTGATTGTTGTTTCAGGTTTCTTAGGACAAATTCCTACAAGTGGGATCATTGGGTCAAATGGCAGTTCTATTTTGAAATTTTTGAGGAAACTCCACACTGTTTTCCATAGTGGCTGCATCAGTCTGCATTCCCCTAGCAGTGTACTAGGGTTCCCTTTTCTCCACATCTTCGCCAGCACTTGTCATTTGTTGATCTGTTAATGGTAGCCATTCTGACAGGTTTGAGATGATACCTCATTGTCATTTTAATTTGCATCTCTCTGATGATCAGTGACTTTGAACATTTTTTCATATGTCTCTTGGCACTCTGTATGTCCACTTTGGAGAAGTGTCTATTTAGGCCCTTTGGCCATTTTTTAATTGGATTGTTTGTCTTTTTTTTGTTGTCGTTAGGTTGTATGAATTCTTCTATATATTTTGGAAATTAAACTCTTCTAAGACGTATCATTGCCAAATATGTCCCCCTATACAGTGGAATTCCTTTTCATTTTGTTGATAGTTTCTTTTGCTGTGCAGAACCTTTTTATTTTGATGTAGTCCCATTTGTTTATTTCTCATTTGTTCCTTTGGCCTAGGAGATGTAGCCACACACATATTGCTACGAGAGATGTCTGAGATTTTGTTGCTATGGTTTCTTTTAGGACTTTTATGGTTTCACAACTTACATTTAAGTCTTTTATCCATTTTGAGTTTATTCTTGTGTATGGTGTAAGTTGATGGTCTAGTTTCATTTTTTTGCAGGTACCTATCCAGTTTTCCCAACACCATTTATTGAAGAGCCTATCTTGATTCCATTGTATACTCTTGCCTCCTTTTTCAAATATTAATTGAGCATAATGGCTTGGGTCGATTTCTGGGTTCTCTATTCTGTTCCATTGATCTATATGCCTCTTCTTGTGCCAGTACCAAGCTGTTTTGATTACAGTGGCTTTGGAGTATAACTTGATATTTCAACAGCTTTTTATTGAGCATCAACCATACTGACGGCACTATTCTACGCAATATGCAGAATGAAAGTGTATTACCTTCAGTCACTGAAGAGCAGTAGTAGTTGCTTTAGGATCGTTGATAGTTGAATGCTTGACACATAATGAGTAGTCAATAAACATTACCTCTTTTATTTATATTTTTCCTCTTATCCCATGCTCTTCAAGTAAAACTTCCCAACAGACAATGAAACATCCTTAGAAACAGATGTTTCTATTTTTTATCCTAATTTTTCTCTGTTAATAAGGGTTTTTTCCCCCCTTCTTATCACAATGCTTGGTAATTGTTTTTTCCATTCTTAAAGAATTTTCCTAGGATAATTATTTTTACTGGTCAAAATTTCTAGGGCTCATTAGAATTCAAATCATTTGATAATGTTTTTTCTTTTGTTTGTGTATTTATATTTACATATTTACATCACAAACCATGAAATCTATCAATTCATTAGTTTTTAGTATATTCAGATGTTTGTGCAACTGTCACTACTATCTAATTTCAGAATATCACCCCCAAAATAAACCCTGTATTCCTTAGCACTTTCTTTCATTCCTATCTCTCCTCAGCCCTATAAACCACTAATTTACTTCCCATCAGTATGGTCTTACCTATTCTAGACATTTTGTATAAATGGAATCATACACTATGTGGTTGAATCATAAAATATGTGTTGTTGTTTTTTTGTGACCAGCTTCATTTAGTATAATGTTCATCCATGTTGTAGTATATATCAGTACTTCATTCTCTTCCTCCCCCTCTTTTATTTGGCAAAATACAAGTAACATGAAATTTACTATTTTAACAATTTTTAGGTGTACAATTCAGTACACTTACTGTACTGTGCAGCTGTCACCACTATTCATTTCCAAAACTTTTTTAATAATCCCAAACAAACTCTGTCTACATTAATAAGAACTCTTCATTCCCCCCCTCCTCCTAGCCACTGGTGACTCCTGTTCTATTTTCCGTCTCTGTATTTGCTTGTTTTAGGTACTTCATGTAAGTGGAGTCATACAACATTTGTCCTTTTGTGTTTGGCTCTTCAACACATAGATCACATTTTTTGCCCAGCCTTGTGGAGTTTTTAACCTTTGTATGCCTGGATTTTCCCACAGCAGATTGAAATGGACCCTTATGTTGGTATATAGAACCCTTTCTTCATATACTAGTAGTTCCTTCTACTCTGTCTTGCAAATTTTAGCTCTCTCAGCCTTTGGAGTTCTGATTTCTGTCCTCTCAACTCAGTGAGATAATGTTCTCTTCTTGGGATCACCTTCTCTTTACTGAGATCCAGAAACTGTTTTAATGCAGGACGCTTGTATTGCTATCTGGAAAATGTCTCTAGGCAGAAATTGAGGCAAAAGTCTAGCTTATTCAATTTGTCTTCCTTCTTAGAGATCATCATTATGCACTGCCTGTGATCTTGCATACTAAACAGGTTCCTCAGTGTATATTTTACATATGTTTTTCTAGCTTTGTAATTGTTTGTAGCAGAAGTATAAGTCTGGTTCTAGTTATTCTGTCATGACTAGAAGTGAAAGTCTTGGTCTTATCATTTTATTTTCAAAACTTTTTTCACTCAGAATTAGCCTAAAATGCCTCATCTGTGATTGCTAAGGAAGAGAGTCTGTTAATCTTGTTTGAAAAATTTAAAGGAACTTGTCTATGATGTTTCAGTTGTGCCATTAATAAAAATTAAACTTCTTTACCATATTCTCCCTATTGCCTATGATAGTTGGGGGGTGGGGCTGATGTACTACTAATTGAGTGTTACATTTCTCATTTTTTAGACCTAAAGATTGTCTTCGGTCTATTATGAGGAGGGTGAACCATAAAGATCCTCATGTTGCTATGCAAGCTCTGACTGTGAGTGATTTGATTTTAGGTTCTATCACAAAATTACCTGCTGAAATTGAGCCCTTTTAACTTTGGAATTTATGTTTTTAGCTTCTAGGAGCATGTGTATCAAACTGTGGCAAAATTTTTCACTTAGAAGTATGTTCAAGAGATTTTGCTAGTGAAGTAAGCAACGTATTAAACAAGGTAAGGAGCATTATTCCCAGAAATGAATTAAGACAGTGATTTTTTTAAAAAAATGTATTTTATTGTTCAGTTCCTCACATTTTAAATCAGTGATTGCCAGCCTTTCGGACCTCACGGACCACCGATTGGCGACCACTGCTCCAAAGGTTTCCTTAAACCAGTGGTTGCCAACTTTCGGACCTCAGGACCACCAGTGGTCTGCGAACCACTGGTTGTCGACCGCTGTTTTAAATCACAAAGGACTAGTCTGTCCTTTTTTTAAAAAACAAAACAAAAACAAAACAAAAAACTCTTTCTAAGCTATTTTCTATCCAATATATAAGTAGATATTATGTTTTGCTAAGGGGACTACACATTTATAATTTCGAGAGTTGTTTTTTTTCCAGCCAAATTAGAGTATATTGAACCTCTTTATCATTCCTTTCATCTGATAAGTAAATATGTGTATTTCTCTGATTAAATAATACCAGTCAATTTTTAGGCACAGTTTTTTTAACCACAGAATAATTTTGTAGCCACAGAATTATTTTCTCAATGTAGAATTGTTCAGAAATATTCCCAAAATATAGCACTGTTGAGTTTCATCTTTATATGAATAAGGCTACCGCTTGACCATTATAGGATTTTAATACTATATATTTACTTAATGAGTACAGAATAAAGAATTCAAATCCTGAAATTTAAGGACTTTAAAAAAATATGAGTACAGAATAAAGAATTCAAATCCTGAAATTTAAGGACTTTAAAAAAATGTAAGTTTCTAAGTAATATGTGAGTTTTCCCAGTAAAAATCTGTTTTCTAAAGGTAATTATTTCTGGCTTTTTGGGGTGGGGGTGGGGATGGGGGATGGCTCAGCGGATAGAGCGTCGGCCAGTGTTAAAAGGGAAAATGCCTTTTTAAAAAATATATTTTTGTATTGATTTTATAGAGAGGAAGGGAGAGGTTTAGAGAGAGAGAAACATCGATGAGAGAGAAACATTGATTGGCTGCTTACTGCATGCCCCTCACTGGGGATCGCACCCACAACCTGGGCATATGCCCTGACCATGTACCCTGATTGGAAGCTAACCATGACCTCTTGGTTCATGGGCTAATGCTCAATCACTGAGTCATGCTGGCCAGGCAAAAATGCCTTTTTTGGCAAAATAAGTATTTTTACGTTTTTGTAGAAAACAGTACAGAAATGAGATAAGAAATGTAAAATTCTGTACTTTTCAAACATGATTACATAAAAATATTTTACCTGTTCTGCTTTATTAAGTTGTATTTAGATATTTTCTACTAATTAATAACCATTCTTTTTTTTTCTCTTTTAATCCTCACCTGTGGATATGTTTTTATTGATTTTTAAAGAGAGAGAGGAGTGGGGGTGGGGAGAGAAAGAGAAAGAAACGTTAGTGTGAGAGAAAAACATCAATTGATTGTCTGGTGCATATGAGCCCTGACTGGGGATCAAACCTGCAATCTAGGTATGTGTCCTGACCAGGAATCAAACCCACAGATTTTGATGTATGGGATCGCAGTCTAACTGAGCCTTCTGGCCAGGGCAGTAACCATTCTTATAATGTCCTGATATCCATCAAAATGTATCATTGTTTATAAAGAGACTATAATGCTATCCTAATATATAAAAAGCCAGGGGCCGTCACGACCAAAACAACTGGACGGACGACCAAACAACAGGCTGCGTGGGGTGACCAGGCCGGCAGTGGGGGTTAGTGAGGGACAACCAAACAACTGAACAGTAGGCTGCGTGGGGTGACCAAGTCGGCAGGGGTGGGCAGTTAGGGGCAACCAGGCTGGCAGGGGGGCAGTTGGGGGTGACTAGGCCAGCATGAGAGGGCAGTTGGGAGGGTCCAGGCCTGCAGGGGAGGGTAGTTAGGGTGACCAGGCTGGCAGGAGAGGGCAGTTAGGGGTGACCAGGCCAGCAGAGGAGGGCAGTTAAGGGCAATAGGCCAGCAGGGGAGCAGTTAGGCGTCGATCAGGCTGGCAGGGGAGTTGTTAGGGGGTGATCAGGCTGGCAGGCAGGCGAGTGGTTGGGAGCCAGCAGTCCCGGTGGGATCGGGCCTAAACAGGCAGTCGGACATCCCTCAAGGGGTCCCAGATTGGAGAGGGTGCAGGCTGTACTGAGGGGCATCCCTGCCCCCCCCCCCCCTCCATGAATTTCGTGCTCCGGGCCTCTAGTCTATAATAATATAAGCAAATCGACCGAATGTGGAATGACCATCTAGATGACCATGCTATGACACCCACTGGCACTAGGCCAGTCAAGGCGGGTGCCATGCGATTGGTTGGGGGCCTGGCCATTGCCCCATGATCACCCCGCAGAGGGAGGCCCAGGCCACCTGCTAGCAGGGCGATCAATGAGGGCGCTCCACAATCGCCTCAAAGAGGGAGGCCCAGGTCACCAACTGGCGGGCTGTGGCGCGTGGGCGGGGCCTCCCTCTGTGGGGCGTGATCAATTGCACCAAAGAGGGAGGCCCAGGCCACTGGTTGGTGGGGCAATCAATCAGGGGCTCTGCGATTGCCCCAAAGAGGGAGGCCCAGGGGGTGTGTGGTGGCAGACATGGGTAGCACCAGGCCAAGGTGGGTGCAGGCGGGGAGCGGGGCCATGAGGCAGCCAGGGCCTGGCTGCAAAGGCCTACCCTTGCACGAATTTCGTGTATCGGGCCTCAAGTTTTTAATAACCAACTGTAGTTTTATGTATTGTCTATAGTTAGGGGTAATTTGTTTTCTCTCTCTCTCTTTTTTGTTTCTTTTTGCTAGGGGTAATTTGTGATTTAAAAAGAGAATTATAACACTTCAGAATTCTTATATTTAAGATATCTATATTAAATCATTGGCCAGAAATTAGTATACTTTTTAGTAATATTTTTGGTATGAAAAACTTTAATGAAAACATTAACCATACAAAAACTAAATAGCAAAACCATTTAAAGTGACTTACAATTCAAACAGATTTGGCTTACTGATAATTCTCTATCAACTGATTATTTCCTGATATATTTCTCTATCCAGTGACTATTTCCAGATAAAATCTTATTAATTATTTTCTCTACTTCCAGGGTCATCCTAAAGTGTGTGAAAAATTAAAGGCCCTTATGGTTGAATGGACAGATGAATTTAAGAATGATCCACAGCTCAGTCTAATATCGGCAATGATTAAGAACCTTAAAGAACAAGGAGTTACGTTTCCAGCTATTGGCTCTCAGGTATTTTGTAAAGTTGTATGTGTGCTACAGTGTTTTTCTGAAGTAGCCATATTTATTTGAACTTTTCACCCCTCCAAACCCAAGTAGCTTTTATTACTTTGAAGGATTTTTTTGTTAATAATAATCTTGCATTTCGAGGTGCCATAAAAATAGTGTGGAATATTAATGTGTTCTAACTTCTACTTTCCCACTGTTTCTCCTTTTTTAATAAATGAATTTGCTGTAACATTTGCAATTAAAATTTTTAAAAATTTAGTTCTAATATAGACAAAATTATTACATCAAGTAAGTCTTATTAAATGCTCTTAATGCTATCATAAAAAATAGGGATATCCTTAAAATTTAAAGATGAGTTTAGAGGTTTTTTTTATTATGAAATTTATGAATACCTGTATTAAAAGTGGGAAGGAGATATAAAGGGGTCAATGGGAAGAGAAGCACATGAAGCATTTCTTCCCTTCATAAAACCTGACCAGTGGCTTCATCTTTTTCCTTTCTCCTAATAAATATGACTGACCAAAAGGCTTAACTTTCCTTTTCAAAAAATTATGTAATGAGACTGATGTCTAATTAATGTCATATAAAAAATGAAAGGGGCCCAGCTGGGTGGCTCAGTTGGTTGGAGTGTTGTCTGGTACACCAAAAAGGTTGTGGGTTCGATTCCCAGTCAGGGCACATACCTAGGTGTGGGTGCAGTCCCCACAGGAGGCAACCAGTGTTTCTCTCTCTCTCTCAAATCAATAAACCTATCCTCAAGTGAGGATTAGGGAAGGGAAGGGAAGGGGAGGGGAGGGGAGGGGAGGGGAGGGGGAAAGGGAGGGAAGGAAGGAAGGAAAGAAGGAAGGAAGGAAGGAAGGAAGGAAGGAAGGAAGGAAGGAAGGAAGGAAGGAAGAAAGAAAAAAGGGAGGGAGGGAGGGTATTTCTTTTATTCTTTTTCTATTCTGGGTAACCATCCTTTAGCATGCCCAACTAATGAAAAGGGTTTAAAATGTATGGATTGGAGTAAAATGTAATGAGTGGTACAAAAGCATGAGCAGAAAATCTCAGCTGTCAAGGATTCAAGTTTGGGGTTTTGACCACTTCAGGGAATCATGAACTGATTCATCCAGACTTATCTAGACTTTCTCCATGGCACTTCTACTTTATCTATGTACTTTTGAACTGTAAAAAAAAAACCAGAAATATACTTAGGAGAGTAAGGAAGGGAAGATATTTTACTTCTTTCTTCAAAAAATTTGGCTTTTGAATAGTTTTATGATGATAAATTATATCTTTTAGAAGTATTCATGACTGACAGCTGGCTTTTACTACTCTCAGAATAATTTCTAAATCTATAATTACAGAATAACTTTATGCAGAATAATCCAAAAGTCTTATAAGTTTCTTGACAGTAGAAGCAATGTTTAATTATCAAAGTAGATTCTATAGAGAACCAAAGTGTAGATGCTTAATGGAATTGTAATTTCTATGCCTCAAAAACCTTTTCTAGAGCTTGTTACTCAAAATTTGGTTCATTGACCATCATCATCATCAGGTTGTTAGAAATTCGGCATCCATGGATTTATTATCTTCCTTTTATCAAGATCCTGGATGATTCTGTATACACATTGAAGTTTGAGAAGCACTGCTCTCAAATACAGCTTTCAGTGCAAGTGAAAACTGCATATCTGTCCACAAAGGGACTTGTTTCTATAAGAGAAGGAAGAATTAATGATCTGTTTGATATATAGCACTTTTTGGTTAACCTAGACTCTCAGTTGTGGGGACATCTTTAGGGTTCTCTAATCCCCTCATTTTACAGATGAGGAAACTGAGACCCAGAATGATTACGTGACTTGCCCAGGGACACTTGGGCAAGAGTAGTTGACAGAGCTGGAAGGAGAACACAGGGTTCCTGACTTTCAGTCCAGTGTTCTTTCCACTACACCATTCTGCCTTCCGTTGATATAGAAGTTAGTGGATATGTGTCTGTCCAGACTAGGCTTCAAAGGACAAGAAATGGAGTGAACACTGGCAAGAGGATTGGATTGATTGATCGATTGGCATAGAAGTTAGGTTACTCTCCTGCTCAAAAGACTCAGGACATAGATCAGCAACATTAAAGTTAAGAGCTACTTTTCTTCTTTTCATCTAGATGTTACAAAATACATGAAACCTAATTTTATTATAGTTGCTATCATTTAGCCACAGGAAATATATAAAATGCATATAAAGTACAATAAGATGAAATAGAATGGTTTTTTTAAATACTACTTTCTGAAAAGTGTATCATTGAAAACCTTGTTTGTAAAGAACTTTGTTTAATGAAAATGTGTCATCTAGGGAAAAAAGGGAAGATCTGTAATACTTTGAACAATAAAGCTAATTTTTTTTAAAAAAGTGTCATCTAGTATCAACTGTAAAAGTCCCTCTAGATTTTGAAATCACTTTGTTGTATGTCATCACATTTAGTCAGAGTAGATTTTTGTTAGCATTCTTAACAAAAACCTATGAAAACATAAGGATTTTTAAGTTTATTTTTTACCCATGTTCAGAAGAAAATAATAAAAATGATAAGAAAAGTCATACTTTAGTTACCTAACTTATTTTTATGCTGCTGTGATTTTTTTAGTACTAACTTTTGATGTAGAGATAAAAGTAATGGTAAACTGCTCCTGTATTTGGCTAGTTAATAAGACAAGTGTCATTGCTACACTTAGAACCTGATGATAGAAAGGAACTTTGAAAAGTGTGCAGTTCAGGAATGCAGGCTTAATGCAGCATGTTCTGCACTTCCTTCTGCACCAATAGAGATTTCTTCATAGACCACAAAAAATCAACATATTTGTTTTGTGAAATTGACCAGATTATGAAAAATTTTTATATGTTATGAAAAAGATTACCTCTGACTTTCAATTTTCAGTTGTATAATGATTAAAATACTGCAACAAGAGAAGGATCAGAATTGAAGGTACTTAAAGTTCTATGCAGTGAACTATAAAAAGCTTTTTTGTAATCAGCTTTTCTAAAAATAAGTGCCTTGTGTGTTTGTTTGACATTATAAAATATACTAAGTGAAGAATATATAACTGTATGTTACTATAATATTTTGCCTTTCATCTGCTTAACAATCATTTAAAAATTAGAATTCCATTTTTTATTGATTTATCTGGGAATTACAGTATACATTTGTAACTTTAAAAAATCTGTTTTGAGTTAATACTATATTATTTCATGTAAAATGTAGAAACCTTGCAACAGTATAGGGTTTGCCTACTCCCCACTTCAGCATCCTTTATGCTATAGTCATCTTACATATGACATATATTCTCCTACATACATTATAAATCCCAGGAGACAGTGTTATACTTTCTGTTTAAACCTTGAAGGGCCCCCATTTTATCTGATTTTAGAAGCTACATGTGTTAATTTAATCCTCTTAATATCCTGTAGTGTGTAGGTGATATTATTATTCTCATTTTGTAGATGAGGGACTTGAGACACAAAGTGCATGGATTTATAGTTTGATCCCGTGTTTGCCTGACTACCCATTCTTAACTACCCATGTCATAGCACCTTGTTTGAAAGTATTATCAGAGGAACATGGAAGAGGGAATGCTTTATTAAGAGGCTTAGGGATGTTTCACTGAGAAAGTGATATTTTAGCTGTTTACCCACTGATGAGTTGCAACTCAACAGGGAAAAATATGGATGGAGAAAACAGAGCCAGAGGGGAGGACATTATAAGTAAAGCAAATGTGTGTCAGGTGTAGAAATACCAGTATGGGTATCTATAATAATAAAAGGGTAATATGCTCATTAGACCAGACGTCCTTCTGGACGAAGCAGGGCTGGAGGGAAGCCGGTGCCAACAGCCGGGGGAAGGAAGGTCTACTCTTGCACGAATTTTGTGCATCAGGCCTCTAGTATATGTATACATATACATATGTGTGTATATATTATATACATATAATATATCTGTATATAGGCTAGCAGTTTCTGGTCACTGATAGAATGGTTGAAAATAAGACTGGTAAGATAGGCTGGAGTCTGAATTGCCTTCACTGCCATGGAAAAACCAAGAAGCCATTGAGGCTTAGAAGCTTCTAATTCCATAAGTGTGAATCAATTTATGTATTAATTTACTTGTAAACTACCTTATTTATAAAATATACTTAAGATGGACAGCAATATATTCCCAGAATTAACTACATGTATTTTGTTTTACCAAATAGTTAATTTTATGAGCATTTATATTGTTATATATAAATCTGGGTCCCTAAAGAGAACATCCTGACTTTTAATCTGGAAGCAAGCAATAAAATAGAATCCTTAAATACATATTTAAAAATTTTTGAAGCTATCTGTTTTTAAAATAGTCATCTTCCTCCCTCTCTCAACCCCTTTTCCAGTTTTATTTTTCTAAACATTTTTAAATCTCTAGTTTTTTTTTTCCCTTTGGTTTGCGTACTGTCTGCTTTTATTTTAACCTCTGTACACAAATCTGCAACAGTGTTATTTAGGCTGTTGGCTCTAAGTATCCAGCTGCTCTCAGTCTGTTTTCTCCAGTTCTAACTCTTCTCCTTTTCAGGCTGCTCCAATTGGATTTCTTTATTCTTCAGAAGTTTTAGATTGACAAGAAGGATCTTGCACCTTTATAGATTAGGTGGGGTAGGAGTATTTGAGATCGACCCTCAAATACTGTGTTCCTTTTTGTGTGTGTTAGGCTGCAGAACAAGCAAAAGCAAGCCCAGCTCTGGTAGCCAAGGATCCTGGTACTGTGACTAACAAAAAAGAAGAAGAAGATTTAGCCAAAGGTATGTTTTTAAGTCCCGGATGGTGGCAAAAAGATGGGTTGCTTACTTAATATTTTTTTTCCTGAAATATTTTAAAATAAAAAAATTAGCTGAAATCTACTTTGTTTCCCTCAATATCACTTCTTCCTCTTCTCTCCCAATGCGACTATCATGTATGTCTTACTGATCAGTATTTTTACTACACAATTTACCCATAAATATCCATAAACAGTATCAAATACTTTTAGTGTCCAATAAAAATTTTTTGTAAATAGTTTACATCTATTTGCAACTGTATTTTTCATGCAATGTTTTGAGATCTATTCATGATTAGACATGAATCAAATTTACTTTTTTTAACTGCTGTATAATATGCCAGTGTACTAATAAGTACATACTGTAATTTATCCTCCTACTGATGGACATTTGGGTTTTCTGTTTTTTATTTTTACTATAATAAATACGCTGCATTGAATATACCTGTATGTGTTCGTGTGTGTGTGTGTGTGTGTATTTTGTGTGACTAAGAGTGAAGTGTTGGCTTATGGGGCAGGCATTTCTTCAGTTTTGGTAATAGTTTTATTTTATTTTCCGTCATCAGTGTATGAAAGCTATTATTATTTTTAACTTTCTGACAGCATTTGGTCTTGTCACTGTTTAAGTTTTATGAATATGATAGATTCAAAATGATGTCCCATTATTTTAAATTTTATTTCTTTTACTACCAGTGAGGTTGAGTCCTTTTTTGTATGCTTATTTGCATTGACTTTCTCTTTTTTTATTGAGTCTCTTTTTAAAAAACATAATGATATGTAGAAAGTCTTTATTTTGCATGCTAATCTTTTGCCTGTTTTATCTATAGTAGATATCTATTCTTTTCTTGATTTTTGGCTTATACTTTAACTTTGATAATGGTGTGTTTTATCAAACGAGTTTTAAATTTTGATGTAGTCAACATTTTTGCTTTTCTGTTATTTTTGCTTTTTTATGTCTTAAGTTGTTCTTTTCCTACTCTAACATCCTAAAAGACATTTTCCTATATTTTCTTAGGATAGTTTTAAAGTTTTATTTTCTCATTAGGTCTTTTATTGATCTAGAACAGAGGTGGAAAGGAAGAAGAGGTTTGGGTTGATTTGAAACCAAGGTAATCAATCCCATAGTGATGGCCTACATGGGGAGAGGAGGATGGAGATAGAGGAGACACATTTGAAATCTATTTTGGGTAATTTGTTAGGTGAGACTTTATTGTAGTTATTTCTAAATTCCAATCCTTAGACTGATTATAAAAGAATTACCTTTGGAGCAATAAAATATAGGTTCTCAGTAATCAGTAAGTCCCCAGTGAGGCTTGAGACTATTTCCCAAGTGATTTTATCATTTCGGGAACTTAGGCTATAGGAATACATTGAAAAGACAAAAGAAAATATATCTGCAACTAAAATTTTTAAAATGGATCTAAGTTTATGTCTTTTAATTACCCAGAATTATTTTAATTGTCTTGTTCAGTAAAAAATAGTCATCATGCTGTTCAATTTTTTTGTTATTTTTTTGAACTTTCAGTTGTGAATGAAAGAATAAAATTGATGAAATGATTTTTATTGTCCTAGTTTCCAGCTACACTACTGAGAGAAGAATACTTTTTACCTTCAGATATATTTTTATACTTCTTTGGATTATTGGACATGTTAACATTTTGGGTCTTTTTAAACCCATTATTTTCTAGCCATTGAGCTGTCCCTGAAGGAACAAAAACAGCAGTCCACCACCCTTTCCACTTTGTATCCAAGTACATCCAACCTCTTAACTAACCACCAACACGAAGGCCGAAAAGTTCGTGCTATATATGACTTTGAAGCTGCTGAAGATAATGAACTTACTTTTAAAGCTGGAGAAATTATTACTGTTCTTGATGACAGGTGATGGAACTTTTATGTGAAAAATATATAACATATTACTTCTGTGTTTCATATTACTCCTGTTGGATGCTATCACCAAATGCAATTAAAAAATACTGATCCAGCTATTTTCTTTGTCTGATGGTTGCTTTGCTTATGATATAATGGCTGGATTCTTATTTTGTAGTTTAATTTTTTTCTTATCTATTTAACTAGTTTTAATTTTTGGGGGGAAGGCTTAGTTTAATCTATTCATTTTTGGTTCCATCTAATATAGATTGTTAAATTAGTAAAAAAGTTAAGATTTTAGAAAAAATACCAAATATATGTGTATATGTGTATTTATGAAATTTATAATACAGAATATAGTGTGTTTATTATTTAGTGTATTTGGAACAAATTAATTTTACATGGAACTATATGGATTTACATTATCATAGGAGGGGTGATTCAGTGCATTTGTCTCTTACTACAGCTTTATGTTTATGAAAATTGTTACTGATAATGAAGTTCTAAACTTGGCAAATAAGTGGTTTTAAAAATAAATTCAAATAGATTTAAGGTTATTTCTATAATCTATATATATAAAAGCATAATACGCAAATCAACTGGACGGCGGAACAGCTGGTCGGCTATGATGTGCACTGACCACCAGGGGACAGACGCTCAACGCAGGAGCTGCCTCAGCCTGCAGGCCCTGATCACCTGATTGGGGTCTGCTGATCAACCTCTTGGTCCCCCCCACCCCCCCTCGGCCAGCAGGCTCCGATCACCCGATGAAGAACGGGGAACCGGGGGTGGGTGGCGGCGAATGTGGGTGGTGACCGGGCCCCGATTGCCCTGCCAGTTGCCCCACGCACAAAAGGCGACCAACAGCGGCAGCAGGGGGCAGGGCTAGCTGCTGGCAGCCGGGGAAGATTGGCCCTGACCACAGGCCAGGCCTAGGGACCCTACCCATGCACGAATTTTGTGGGCTGGGCCTCTAGTACATACTATAATACTAGAGACCCGGTGCATGAAATTCTTGCCCTCGGAGGGCGGGGGTCCCACAGCTAAGCCTGTGCCCTCTCACAGTCTGGAAGCCCTTGGGGGAAGTCCGACTGCTGGCTTAGGTCCGCTCCCACTGGGATGGGCCTAACTGTCAGTCGGACATCCTTTAGCGCTGCTGGCCGGATCCGGCCCGTTTGAAATGAATAAAACAAACAAAAAGACCGTACCCTTTTATGTAATGATGTTTACTTGAATTTATATAGTTCACACAAACACTCCATCCATGCTTTTGTTTCCGGCCCTCCGGTCCAGTTTAAGAACCATTGTGGCCCTCGAGTCAAAAAGTTTGCCCACCCTGGCCTAAACTGTCAGTCGGACATCCTTAGCACTGCTGTGGAGGCGGGAGAGGCTCCCACTACTGCTGCTTCACTTGCCAGCCGTGAGCCTGGCTTCTGGCTGAGCTGCGCTCCCCCTGTGGGAGCGCACTGACTACCATGGGGCAGCTCCTGCATTGAGCATCTGCCCCCTGGTGGTCAGTGTGCATCATAGTGACGGGCCGTTCCACCCTTTGGTCGATTGGCATATTAGCCTTATGCCTGCGGAATCAGGCCAAAACCAGCTCTCTGACATACCCTGAGTGTTCCCATATTGTGAGAGGGCACAGGCTAGGTCAGTGATGGCGAACCTTTTGAGCTCGGCGTGTCAGCATTTTGAAAAACCCTAACTTAACTCTGGTGCCATGTCACATACAGAAATTTTTTGATATTTGCAACCGTAGTAAAACAAAGATTTATATTTTTGATATTTATTTTATATATTTAAATGCCATTTAACAAAGAAAAATCAACCAAAAAAATGAGTTCGCGTGTCACCTTTGACACGCGTGTCATAGGTTCGCCATCACTGGGCTAGGTCAAGGGACCCCACTGGTGCACGATCGGGGCTGAGGAGGAATGCAGGAGTTTGGCCAGCCGGGCAGGGATCGAGGGAGGGCTCCAGGGCACATCCGGCCTTTCTCACTCAGTCCCAATTGGCCGGACCCCAGCAGCAAGCTAACCTACCTGTTGGAGCATCTGCCCCCTGGTGGTCATGCACCTCATAGCGACTGGTTGACCAGTTGACTATCTGCACCCTGGTGGTCAGTGCACGTCATAGCGACTGGTCAATCAGTTGACTGCCCCTTGGTGGTCAGTGCACGTCATAGTGGTTGAGCGGCCTTAGCATATCATTAGCATATTACCCTTCGATTGGTTGAATGGCCCACCGGAAGACTGGACACTTAGCATATTAGGCTTTTATTATACGGGATGATTTCTTGAGTGGAAAATAATGAAGTTACGTTTGAGCTGTTTTATTGGAAATTGCACAAAACCTTGATCATTTATTCAAAAATACTTGAGAGCTTGCTAGCTTTTCTTAGACTAGATACAGATACAGTAAATATACAGTATGCACTTTGAAGTGTGTTCCTTGTGAACATTTTATGCTATAAACAGTGTCTCTGTCATATGTGTTTTCTTGTGGGGAAAAATTTGCTGATACGTTTTAGATAGAGCACAAGAATGGACATTTTAAGATCCTGCTATATATCATACTACAGGCCGGTGCATGGATGGGGGGTTCCCCCTCAGCCTGGCCTGCACCCTTTAGCAGTCTGGGAGCCCTTGGAGGATGTCCAACTGACGGACATCCTTAGCGCTGCTGCTTGTGGCTGAGCAGCACTCCCCCTATGGGAGCGCAGTGACCACCAGGGGGAAGCTCCTGCATTGAGCATCTGCCTCCTTATGGTCAGTGCACGTCATAGCGATTGGTTGTTCCACTGTTAGGGTGATTTGCATATTACGCTTTTATTATATAGGACTAGAGGCCCAATGCACGAAATTCGTGAAAGAGTAGGCCTTCCTTCCCCTGGCTGCCGTCATCGGCTTCCCTCTGGCACCTGAGACCCAGGCTTCCCTCCGGCTGCTGGCAGGCACCCGAGACCCGGGCTTCCCTCACAGCCCTAGCTTTGTCCTGAAGGACGTCCGGTCTAATTAGCATATTATGCTTTTATTATTATAGGAGATTACAAAGGATTCTTACAGTGGAGCCTTAAAACCACCTGAACTTGACAATTCTTAAGTACGTGGACCTTTTTTATGAGGGGACAGTTTAGTGTCTTAATAGTAAATCCTTTAAGCATTCACCAGCCTTCCAAAAGAAAAAGCACTATGTGTTTAATAACTTATTTTCATTGAGGCCTCATCTCTTATTTATAATAATGATACATTCATTTCATTCTTCACTGGATTGATGTGGGTTTCAAATCTGGTATTAATGTAAATTAAACACTATAAAAGGGAAAGTTGTATAGAAATAAAAATCTTTATTATAGTCAAATATTCTTTTTTGTTCCTCATAGTGATCCCAACTGGTGGAAAGGTGAAACCCATCAAGGCATGGGGTTATTTCCCTCTAATTTTGTAACTGCAGATCTCACTGCTGAACCAGAAATGAGTAAGTATTTTCCAGTCTGCCAATGGATGATAATCATTAATCCTCTTAATGAAGGCTGAGTAAATTCAACTTTTTGGAGCAGGTACTTTCAAATGGTAGTGTTTTCAAGGTGTTTATTAAAAATGCAGCTGCCTGGTCAGTAGATTATTTACCATCATCTAAGAATTACAGTCATTTGTCTACCAAGATTATCTTTAGAGAGAGTATGGATTTTTTCTTTAAAAATATCTATATCTACCTATACCTATAAATACATATAGATGTATGTATGTATGTATGTATGTGTGTGTGTATATATATACATATATATATATATGTATATTCACACTCATATATGTATGTATGTGCTAGTGTAAAAATGCATACTAAAAAGTGTTGATGGAATTTATGCATTATGTATTTTCATTATCATCAGTTGATAAAAGTGTGACAAATGCAGTGCAACCTTATAAACAATTCTTCCTTTTCAAAGGTTGAGACCGTTTCTCTAGTGTTCTAACCTCAAATTTGGAAGCTGTGACCTCTAAGCAACAGTAATGGCTTTTCTAAACCTTGTTAGATATTCAGAAGCGGCCATAACTAATCATATAAATAGTTTTTTTTTTTATTGCCAAATCGGTAGTGATATTATAGGCATAATAGTTGCAGGAGATGTAACTGGTGGTAGCCTATCAAAATGTTGATAGACAGTTGACTATATTTTTTCATAATACTGTACTTTAATGAATCTTCATAATGAGGAGTTTGAGTCACCAAGATTAAATCATAACCTCCCTTTGTATAAGGAAACAGTAATATGTTCTAGTCTAGAAAGATTTCTATTAGTGATTGACATTTTTAGAATTTAAAAATAATTTTTTGCATGTAAGTTGTAAGCCACAGTTATCTGGCAGAATATCTCATCTCAGCTCACCTGTCTATATAACAGCTAGAAGGAATTAACGTTATAAACTGCAAGATGCTTAGCTTTTTTGTAGTTTACAAGAATTCTAAGAATGGATCTTTGTCTTAGTCATCTTTTTATTTTCAGTAGCACCAAGTACTAAATCCAGAATACAGACTAGACATATATAAATATTAATGCAATAAATAATACATAAGTGTATATATAGAGATATACTTTTCTTTAGAAACATAAGTACACTTATGTTTTCAAGAGAAGGCTTTCACAACAAACCAGACATTATGAATCTTGAGAAGATAATGCCCTCTCATAGTTATGCCAGGTTGTTCTTTTGTCATTTTTATAAACAAATTCCTGATACCTTTTTCTTTAATTGAATTCTTTTTTTTTATTAGAACTGAAAAAAAAACATGTTGTAGAACCTTGTTTGAATGGGAGTGCATACTGTGCTTACTTTTAACCTCGGCCGAGGGTGGTGTTTTTTTTTGTTTGTTATTGGGAGTTTGGGTTGTCCTGAATCAATTGTTGGAATGGGTAGAATAGCCTCGAACTTCTGTTCACAGTGAGATCCAAGAGCTCATGTAGATCATATAGCCATCTCATCTTTTTTCCCATTATATAGCATTGCACTTTAAAATTAGTATTCCAACTCATATGTTTTAGTCTTGACCACCTAAAAGAGAAACAGGAGCAGCAGAACTTACGTAATGTAGTCCTCGAGTTTGGAAGATGAGTGCTAGTGTGATCCTCATAGCCTCATTCTTTATGAGGCAGCAGAAACCCACTTAATGTGTCAAATAGAAATACCTGGCCGCCTTAGCTTGTTAGATATTGGTAGACACAGTTAGATATTGTGAAAGCACTTTTTACATATATAAAACATTTTATATGTATTCACAAACATACTATACTACATAATACACATGTGTACATAGTAATAGTATTGGTTCCTATGAGAAAAAGCACTGTAAATTTGTGCACGGTCAGCTGACAGGATATGAAGTCTACCATGTGTCCCTTACGGATAGCAGATAATACAGTGCTCTCCCAGTTTTCTACTTGTTAATAGCTCAAGATGTAAAAAGCAACATATATATAGCATATGTCTCCTTTTCCTCCATGGGAAAATGAAATCAGCTGAAACTGTGTGTGTGTGTAGAATTTTGCTTCATGGTGACTTGAATGGGATGAATTAAACTATTTCCATTTTCTATGGAATCACATAACACAGAATACTAAGTGATGTGACTTCTTATTCTCAGAGTAAAATCATAGGCCAGATTCCAGTTGTGTGGGCTGGTAGAACCAGATAGATTGGCATTTAAATCCAGGCTTTGCCATTTATTAAGTTTCACCTAAGAATTTATAATCTTTCTAAGCCCTTGTTAACCTTATTTGTGAAATGGGCCTATCTCATAGGATTGTATTGTAGATTCTTTGGAGGAAATGTAATATGTATTCCATTAAGCACATTTAATAATTTAGTAGATATTTCCCTTACTTAATTCTACCTTTTACCCACCTCCCTTTCCTCTTGATTCTTAATATTTTTTATGAATAATGATTGACCACGTGGATACAAGGATGGAAAATTCAAAGAGGAAATTAATTTTTTTTTCTTTTTATTAAGTTCAGAGAGGAAAGAAGAAGGAGAGAGAGCTAGAAACACCAATGATGAGAGAGAATCATTGATTGGCTGCCTCCTGCATGCTCGCACTGGGAATCGAGCCGCAATCCAGGCCAGTGCCCTGACCAGGAATCCTGAACCATAACCTCCTGATTCATTATGTCGATGCTCAACCACTGTGCCATGTCAGCTGGGTAGAAATTTATTTCTTTTAAGCTGTATGTGCCTTGATATTCTTTTGGAGAAGGTTAATTGCTATGTTAATCATATCTTTATATGTACTAGTTAATGTTATATTGATTAGATTTTTAAAGTTTTCTTTATTGAGCAAGAGAAATATGTGTTTCTGGCCAATGGTTTGTGGATCCCTTAATAATCATTTTTTAATGCAAAGAACAATGTAACTAAAATGTATAGGCTGATGTAGTGGCAGATCCCTGCCAAAGCTATTTGTAAAATTTCCATTGGCTTGGATGTCGTTCTCTTAGTCAAAAGTCTGAGTGGCATGCTGGAGAACATATAGCTAACTTTCCAATTCATTGCATTGAAATAGCATGGTCTATCAAATGAGATTTTTCTAAATTTCAGAGTTCATTTATGCCATTGTAAAATTTTGCTCTTTTTCACCAATTTACTAAAGTCATGTATAGTAGGTGATTAATCTTTGTTTCAGAAATACACCTCTTATTTTTAGTAATGTGTCTTTTATGGAAAATGTAAAATCTTTAGAGGAGAAAATTAAGAAATCTTGACATGAAGTAATGTTTAGTCATTATTGCCTAAATCTGCAACCTGATTGTTCTTTAAATTGAGTCTCTCAGTTTAAGGAAATATTTAAAAAATTCAAATTCTCTCTTGTAACTTAAAGTGTTCTCAAATAGAATATTAAATGTATTCTAAGGTAAATATTGCATGTTTTACAGTAAAAACGGAGAAGAAGACGGTACAATTTAGTGATGATGTTCAGGTAGAAACAATAGAGCCAGAGCCAGAGGAACAAGCCTTTATTGATGAAGTAAGTGATTTCCATATACCTCATTATTTTAAACTAGAGGCCCGGTGCACAAAAATTTGTGCACTCGGGCGGGGTCCCTCAGCCCAGCCTGTGCCCTCTCGCAGTCTGGGACCCCTCAGGGGATGACCACCTGCTGGCTTAGGCCCGCTCCCCAGGGGATTGGGCCTAAGCTGGCAGTCAGACATACCTCTGGCATCCCGGCAGCCCTCAGGGGATGTCCACTTGCCAGCAGGAAGCAGGCCTAAGCTGCAGTTGGACATCCTTAGCGCTGCTGAGCAGGCGGGAAGCTTGGCTTCCTCCATCGCCCGGGCAACCAAGCCTCCTGCTTGCTCCAGCTCCATGGTTGCTGGCTGCCATCTTAGTTGGGTTAATTTGCATATAGTTGCTCTGATTGGCTGGTGGGCGTGTCTTAGGGTGTAGCAAAGGTATGGTCAATTAGCATCTTTGTCTTTTTTTTTTTTAAATATATTTTATTGATTTTTTACAGAGAGGAAGGGAGAGAGATAGAGAGTTAGAAACATCGATGAGAGAGAAACATCGATCAGCTGCCTCCTGCACACCCCCCACTGGGGATGTGCCCGCAACCCAGGTACATGCCCTTGACCGGAATCGAACCTGGAACCCTTCAGTCCGCAGGCCGACGCTCCACTGAGCCAAACCGGTTTCGGCTCTTTGTCTTTTATTAGTGTAGATTTCTGCTTAATGTTTTACAGAATGGATATATAATGATTTTTTAATTCTGTTTTTGGACAGTGAGTTTGTTTTTAGTTTTTTCCTGGTGTTTTTTTTTTTTTGCTATTACGAACACTATTATGAGATTTTAAAAATATATTTCAAATAATGTGTAATTGTTTTATTTTAAAATGTTTGTACTTAATGCTCTGAAAATTATATTCTTGGTAACATTTTAAACTTATGATGAAAAATGAGAAGTTATCTTTAAAATATGTGAAGGGATTAATAAGTTTTTAGCCTTCTTTTAGGGGAGCCAAAGCAGAAAGTTTGAAGAGTGTTCTTTTATAGAAATAGATTGTAGAAGACTGCTAGGAGCCAAGGAATCCAACTGGATTAGGGAAAATTAACTAGCTGATTGCATTACATAAGAAATGCATGTAGAGTCAGTGAGGGATCTCTCTAGAAACCTTATTTCTCTGATAGTAGGTAATTTCAGATAGAGTATAGTATTCTGTAAACACAACAAAAATTATCCAGGTATTAGTGGCTCTCACTCTTACCAACTATAACCACCTCCCTCCACCCTCCCCACCCCCCCCCCCCTTTTTTTTTTTTTTGCTGTAGGAAAACTTTACTGATATGTGCCTTCTTTTTTGGACTGCTTGAAATGAAAGTTGAATCTTTTACAATGAAAAATAGTACCCATTTCAAAACATAAAATTCTTTTGCCTTCAGAAGTTTCTTATATGCTGTGTCACTTTTACTCTCTAGTAATTAATCCATCTCTCAAACTGTTCTTCTATATATAATGCAGAGTTTTTGTTTAAATAACTGCTATGCTTTGAATTGGTCATCTTTACATTATTTACCTAATGTACATATGTTTAATAGTATAACCCTGTAAAAACCATGCATGGGGAAAAGCTTGTAATTATTGTACTAGTATTCATTGGTATGCTATGTAAAATTTATATTTTGTTTTTTAAAAACCTACATATAAATACATATGTACTTATATAATGTATAGAGGTACTAATGTAAAGATGGTTTCATTAGTCCCATTGGTGATTAAAACAAAAGATTCTAAAATATGTGTAAGTCACTGCCTTGAGATGCCTTCCAGCCTTTCCCATGTAGAAGAATAGAGAGACCACAAACTGAAACATTGGTAGCAAGAAAATGTAGACTAAGTCTTTATGGCCCTACTTAGAAAGAGAACAGCTGTAATATAGCTGAGCTATGCCTTTCTAAAGCAGCTGTTGTATGCACCCTGGGGGAGAAGTAATAACTGAGTTGTTAGTCATAAGTAATGCCATCGTGAGAGAGAGGTTACACCTGTCAGCATGTCAAGGCTAGGCTGCTTCAAAACAGAGTGAAATTCACTACCATGAAATTAGATTGAAGAGCTCACATATTGTAAGTTTAAATGTGGCTCTATTCTCTTTAAGAGAATCATTGAGGACTAAAAAATAAGTAGGTAGAGCTTTCGAGGCTCTCACTTCACATGGTACTTAAAGAGAGTACACAGATATTAACCAGATAAAAACAAAATTGGAGTCTACATATCTGAATTACAAAAGTTCTCTATCCAACACTGGGGGGTAAGGGAAGGCAGGGGCTTGTCAAGGGTGGGGGGGGAAAAAAGGACAACTATTTAATTCCTGTAGGACAAAATGGACCAATTGCTACAGATGCTGCAAAGTACAGATCCCAGTGATGATCAGCCAGATCTTCCTTCGTAATGACTAGTTGCTTTTTATATTAACTATTTAATTCCTGTAGGACAAAATGGACCAATTGCTACAGATGTTGCAAAGTACAGATCCCAGTGATGATCAGCCAGATCTTCCGGAGTTACTTCATCTTGAAGGTAAACCTTGTTTTTCATTTATCTTCCAAATAAAGGATAATTAGAGGTTATATCTACTGTTCTGTTACAGAATGGTTCATATTTAAATAAAATTGAGAATGATACAAAACATGTTCATATTCTTCACTCTTCTGTGACCCAGTCTCACGTTTATATGCTATTTAAAACTTTGATAGAATTCACATTCTTTTTAAAATATATATATTTTTGTTGATTTTTTACAGAGAGGAAGGGAGAGGGATAGAGAGCCAGAAACATCGATGAGAGAGAAACATCGATCAGCTGTCTCCTGCACACCCCCCACTGGGGATGTGCCCACAACCAAGGCACATGCCCTTGACCAGAATCGAACCTGGGACCCTTGAGTCTGCAGGCTGAAGCTCCATCCACTGAGCCAAACCAGTCAGGGCAGAATTCACATTCTTATACATTTCTATAGAAATTAAATATTTTATTTAAAATACTCAAATATTTTATTCAACATTTTAGAATGTTGTAAAATAAATATTGGTATTTTAATATTTTTGAGATCAAGAAAATAAATCTTGGGGTCTCTTTATTAATATCATTTTTATTACTCCAAATTACATCTTGTATTTCTTATATGAATATTCATCAGAGATTTGCTTTCTTTTGTTGTGTTTTCTTATATTTCTTCAAATCTTCTCACCTTAGCAATGTGTCACCAGATGGGACCTCTTATTGATGAAAAGCTGGAAGATATTGATAGGTAAAAGAGCATGTGCCCTCTAGATTGTGTACCTTCTTCCCTGAAGTTCTCTGTAAACTACCTACTGGGATAGAGCTGCCATTATAATTTATTTTATTACTAGCTTTATTTATTTATTTCTATCGTGTTATATTTTATATTTTAATTTTTCTATCTTATTTCATTTGAATTTTTCATTTTTATTTTTTAATATTTTCTATTTTTATATGCCAAAGGAACCAGTCCCCATTTACTTGTTTTCTGCTAAATGTGGGAATTTGAATTAGACCCAACTCTCCTCTTTTTTTATTTTTGTTTAAGGTGAGGATTTATTTGACCTTCACTATATTAGTCTTTTTTAAAAATAAGGGTTAACTATTATCATCATGAGTGACATTACCAGAGCCCAAATGACCCATCTATTATAATCTCGAGAAACCTAGATATTTCAAAGTAAAGTCAACTACAATAAGCTCTCCCAGCACAGTACCTAAATCTGAGTTTTGATTGCCTTGGAGCTAAAATACAGGATATTTTCTGTCACAAGGTAAATTTTTAATAATGTCTATATCACTTTCTGCTATTTTGATATGTCTTATTATTTAGAACATTGTACTATTTAAATAGCAATTATGTTTCAAATTATTGTATAATATTTCAGAAAACATTCAGAACTCTCAGAACTTAATGTTAAAGTGATGGAGGCACTTTCATTGTATACCAAGTTAATGAATGAAGATCCAATGTATTCCATGTATGCAAAATTACAGAATCAGCAGTATTATATGCAGTCATCTGGTGTTTCTGCCTCTCAGGTAAGCTTTTAAAAACTCAAGTATATCATTTTAAATTCTCAAATATTTGAGAGTATTTGGAATAGCTGTGTTTTTATAAAATTTGAAACTTTTTAAAAGGAATGTAAAATAAATTTTAAAAGAAATTTTTACTTGACAAATATAGTGTATACTATACCATTATACCAGTGGTTTATTTTAAATATATTTTTATTGATTTCAGAGAGTGGAAGGGAGAAGGGGAGAGAGATAGAAATATCAATGATGATATTTCTCTTGCATGCCCCACATCGGAGATTGAGCCTGCAACCTGGGCATGTGCTCTGACCAGGAAATTAAACTGTGACTTACTTGTTCATAGGTTGGTGCTCAGCCACTAAGCCATGCCAGCCATGCCAATAGTTCTTTTTTAAAAAATTATTTTTCTGTAGGAATATCCATCAGAATCACCCATCAAACTTTTTGAAAAAGTACAGATGCTTTGATTCTATCCAGACTTGTTGAAGCAGAATCTTCAGGAGGGAGGTCCAAATGTGTGCATATTTTTAAAGCTTTATATGTAATTATCTGGTTAAGAACTGCAGTTTTTTTTGTCTCAGTAAAATTTCTAATTATTACTAAATTCTTCTGAATATGTACAGTGTTCAGTTTTATAGTGAGCTGCTTTAATCTGTATCTCGCTCCCTTCCTTTACATAACACATGTAATGCAATACAGAGCCCTTTCCCTCTTTTTCTTTTTTGGTAATCTTCACCCAAGGATATTTTCCCCATGATTTTTAGAGAGAATATAAAGGAGAGGGGGGAGATAGAGCGAAATATCGATGTCAGAGAGACACATCAATTGGTTGCTTCCTGCTTGTGCCCTGACCAGGGCTGGGGATCGAACCTGCAACCCAGGTAACATGCCCTTAACTGGGAATTGAACCCATGACCCTTTGGTGCACAGGCCGATGCTTTATCCACCGAGCAATACAGGCCAGGGCCCTTTCCCTCTTTTCACCTCAAATAACTATTTGAAGAGTTCTTTTTCCACAAACTCAGTAAGTTCAGGGTATAGGGAGTAATTCGCCAGGCACTTCATTTTATCCATGTAGAGTGGTATAAACATTATATAGATTAATTTTTGTTTTTAGAATAGTCAATTTTCTCTTAAATGAGGGGCCACAACCCTGGAGATGTGCAGCCATGCCTGAGTAACATGTGGCTAGATGATTCCTACTCACAGGTGTTGATATCAATTTGAGCCAAAGAAACCCCCCAAAAACCTTTCATGTTCAGTTTGAAAAGTACAAAAAAATGCACTCATGAGGACCAGAATACCTGTGTTTACAATGAAGACCCTTGGATTCTGATGCACGGGAAGTGTGTTAGGACTTAGGAGAAGTGCTGAGATGATTGAGCCTTGTCTCCTGATGGTTGTGTTACTATCTTTACAACTGGTAAAAAAGCCTTACTACATAGATAGTGGCATTCTGTTATCAAACTTATGAAATGGAAGGATTTAAAGAATACTACAGAAAACTAGAATATTATGTATTTTAAGACTTTTGGAATTTAAGGCTTCAATCTCTTTCGATTCAGACAAGTATAGTTTTTGGATGCAAAAACTATAGTAGGCAAACAATGGCCCAAGGGCCAAATCCAGCCTCCCATCTGTTTAAATAAGCTTTTATTGAAACGCAGCCATTCTCTTTTGTTTATTAATTGTTTCTGGCTACTTTCTATATGGGTCAAATTCAGTAGTTGTGACAGAAACCATATGGCCTACAAAGCCTAAAATATTACTATCAGAACTTTTACAAAAATGTTTGCTGACTAACCCTACTTTAGAAAGTTAGTTTGTTCTGTGTTCAGTAAACTGTAATTTAAAACATATAAATTGTATCTATAAGCAGATGCAGTCTATTGATACAAACAGTCAATTCAAAGACACTTCTTAGACATCCTTTGGAAATCCTTTTAGGGAAGAACTTAAAATATCAACATGGAAAAAGAGACTATATTAGTATAAAGTTTCAAGTTAAGTTCCTTTACTACTTTTGGATAGAGGTAAACATGAGTTTAGCCAATGATTACCTAAGAATTAAAATAATCAGAAGCCAACTTCACTGAAAAATATTTTTTAAATGCCTGTTAACTGAAGTAACTATGAAAAAAGATTTCAGGGATATAATTGTTCTTTTTGTTAACTGAATGTCTCTACAAAAGGTTTGGCATGCTTACTAAAATCTTAGAAAATCTAATATGTTATCATGAACTGTTCTAGGTATATCCAGGGCCTCAAAGTGGTACTTACCTGCTTGCAGGGAATGCCCAGATGAGCCATCTCCAGAGCTATAGTCTTCCTCCAGAGCAATTGTCTTCCCTCAGCCAAGGAGCAGTTCAACCCTCTGCAAACCCTGCCCTTCCTGCTCAGCAGACTCAGGCTTCTTATCCTAGGTAATTTGATTATTGACTGTTACTTGGAGTTAATGCTATTAAAATTCTTTTTTTGTAATATCTTTAAAATTTTTTTTAAATTTTAGAGGAGAAAAGAGAGAGAGAGATGAGAGGCGAGAGAGAGAGAGATCGATCTATTGCCTTCCATAAGTACCAGAGAGAGAAAGGTGAGAGAGAAACATCGATCCGTTGCCTCCAGTAAGTACCCGAACCATGGATTAAACCCAGAACCTGGGTATGTGCCATGAGGAATCAGACCTTTCAGGTTTGAGCCACACTGGTCAGGGCAAAATTCTTAAGTGCCCATGATCATCTGTAACCAGAACTGGATAAGAAACTCCGGAAAAGATGCCATCACTGATACCAGATGGTTACCTCTGTTTGTGGTGATAAGTGAGTTCTACAGGAACCCCTGCAGTATTGCAGCAATAGCCAGCAAGCCAGTTCTCTCTCTTACTGCCTCACTGAACTGCTGTATTCTGATTCTAACTTTGTCATAATTTGTTTTTATTTGAGTCCGTGGTGGTATTTGCTAAGGATTTTAATGAAACTTAGATTTGATAACTATATATTGTTTTTCACAAATTTCATAAAAATCTAAATATTTTTATCATTATTGTTTCAGAATTTATGTCAGAAAGACACATATTTCCTTCTTTTTGACCTGTATTGGAATTTAGTGTATACCACAGCAAGATATATCATTTGAAAAGAGATGGGTTTTTTGCCCCTGTGGTCCATGGAGCAAATATCTGAATATAAAATGATTGGCTCATTGTTTTGGCCATTTACTTATAATATCCTCTATCACACAGTTAAATGATTATATATTATGTAATTTATAATTACATAAATGTCTTTTTCTGCTTCTGTGTGAATCTAAGCTGAAGTCTTTCCCTCAAAACAAATAAAAGGTAGACTTTAGAGTTCATCAATTTGTAATTCTAGAAGTCATGTTATTCTGACTCACATTAGAAGTATCTTGGTGGCACAGGTGCAATTTCTAGAAAACTTTTCTTCAATATTGGGGTTGCCCATGAATGCTCCTATACTGTCCTTACTGTTGTATTACTCATCCTCAAAAGAGTCACACTCTAGGGATGCTTAGGGATTCACAAGCATTATTTGCTGGTCACCTCTAGTAATCTCGGAGTGAGGAAGCTGTTAGAGCATCAAAAAACAGGATACTCTCTACTGAAAGTAGCTCAGAAAAAAATGTTAGGTATAACTCTTTCTGCCCCAGGACTTTTTTTTTAAAGCTGAAATTTGGTGAAACGAATACACTTACATGGAAAAGAAGCAAACAGGTAGGGAGCAGCTATTGTTAGCATACTGTCTTAAAAACCAGATACAAAGTGAGTAGAGGTAGGTATTGTTGAGAAATCAGCCAGTGTGCATGAGTTATGTACGAATCTCTTAGGTATTTTAGTGTCATCCAGAAATGGTGCCTCTTTCCCAGCTGGTCCTCTGTTACTGTGTCGCGTGCTGCTGTAGCTGCCTTGTTCCTTGTTCCTTGAGACCCATTCTTAGTTCAGGGCCTTGAGAAATTTCCTTGTAAATGATAGCTGTAACACCTTGTTGCTGTTTTCTGGGCATTGTTCTGTCTGCTTCCATAGCTTGGATGTGAAATATCTGATGCGGGGCATGCACTGTAGTCCAGGGCCTAACTCTACTGATCCTGTGTGGCTATTAACGTCACCTCTCAAGAAACACATGTGCACTTCAGCAGGTGCTTTTTCCTTGACATCTTTAGCCCTCTTTGTCTGGCTAATTCCTATTTATCAGTTCCTAGCTTTCTCTTTACTAGAACACCTTCCCACACTCCAAACACTGTTCCTGCTCTCTTGCTGTCACAGGACCCCAGCCTACTGTGTACTGTCTTGTCATCACCTTTAGACTAGTCTGTATCCCCACTAAGCTATCATATCTTGAGAGGTGGCATCAAGTTTCTTTAACCTTTATATCTATTGTATAACAGAGTTTTATACTTGATAAGAACTCAGTAAATACTTGATAAATAAATGTTTAAGATAGGAATTTGAAGTGCTGTGTTGGGCCAGTGAGATATATTTTTAAATTATTTACAGAGGCTTCACAAAGGCTTTGAGGCAGTTTTTAAAAACATATAAATGTATAACATAATCTATAAGAACAGGGTGGGGCAAAATAGATTTACAATTGTGAGTATACAAAATACAGATTTTATTCTTATATTATTATTTATTAATTATTGTATTATTTTCCATACCAACAGCTATATTTGACTCAAGCTTTCTAATTGCAGATCCAGGTCAATGAGGAATTTTTTCCCCATTTTGGTGGGCAGTTTTTTTTTTTTTTAGTGGCCCTAGTTCATATCTAGGAGGCAATTTCTTATCCTTTTACATATAATTTTGGTTCTAGGGTTCTTACTTTTCCAAACTATGTAATAACCTTAGTATGATCTTACTGATAATTAGGGGAGGTAGAATGGATGCAGTTTCCTAAACTCACCTAGAATGGTGATGATGGTAGTACTCAGGTGACCAAAGCTATGTACTTGTCTATTATTTCAGACTACTCTGTTAAAAAGGTGTTTATTGAAATTTAGTCTGTGCCAGACACTATGCTAGACACTTGACATACAAGTGTGTGTTTCTTCCTCTCCCCACAGACACAACTGACATAAAACATTATGAAAATTTAAGATGTACAACTTGTTGATTTGATACATTTCTATATTGTAAAATGATTATCACCATAGCATTAGCTGACACTTTCATCCTGTCATATAGTTACTATTTCTTTTTTTTTTGTGGTGAGAACATTTAAGGTTTATTCTGAGCAACATTCAAGTATATGATAATAGTATTATTAGGGAAAATCACTATGCTGTACATTAGATTCCTAAACTTTTTCATCTTATAAATGGAAGTTTGTACCCTTTGTCTAACTCTCTAACCAACATTCTACTATTTGTCTTTTTTAGATTCCACATGTGAGGTTATATAGTATTTCTTTCTCTATTTTACTTAGCATAATGCCCTCAAGTCTCATCCAAGTTGTACAAATGGCAGAATTTTCTTTTTCCTTGTGGCTGAATAATATTCCAGAGAGGGGGAGGGGAGAGAGGGAGGGAAGGAGGGAGGGAGGGGGGGAGAGAGAGAGAGAAAGAGAGAAGAGAGAGAAAACACGTACACTTACACTGCATCTTCTTTACTCATTCATCTGTTGGTGGATGCTCAGGTTGTTTCCATATTTTGGCTGTTTTGAGTAATGTTGCAGTGAACATGGGGGTGCAGATTTCCTAAAGATCCTGATTTCAGTTCTTTGGGATATATACTCATAAATGGGACTGCTGAGTCATATGGTACTTTCATTTTTAAAAAATATGTTTTTATTGATTTTAGAGAGATAGAAACATTGATAAGAGAGAAACATGGTTCGGCTGCCTCCTGCTACGCCCCCTACTGGGGATCAAGCCTGCAACCCCAGGCATGTACCCTGACCAGGAATCAAACTGGTGACCTCTTCTTTCAAGGGTTGATGCTCAATCATTGAGCCACACAGGCTGGGCTAATTTTTAATTTTTTGAGGAACCTCCGTACTGTTTTCCAAGTGGCTGCACCAGTTTACATTTCCACCAGTACTGCATAAGGCAGTGATGGCGAACCTTTTGAGCTTGGCGTGCCAGCATTTTGAAAAACCCTAACTTAACTCTGGTGCCGTGTCACATATAGAAATTTTTTGATATTTGCAACCATAGTAAAACAAGGACTTATATTTTTGATATTTATTTTATATATTTAAATGCCATTTATCAAAGAAAAATCAACCAAAAAAAATGAGTTCGCGTGTCAGAGGTTCGTCATCACTGGCATAAGGGTTCCCTTTCTCTATATCCTTGCCAACACTTGTTATCTTTTGTCTTTGATGATAGCCATTCTAACAGGTGTGAGGTAATATCTCATTTTGGTTTTGATTTACACTTCCCTGATGATTAGTGATATTGAGCACATTTTCTTTTCTTTTTTTAATTTAAATTCTTTATTGTTTAAATTATTACATGAGTCTCCTTTTTCCACCATTGACCTCTCCCCGGCCACCTCCACCCCCCAGCACATTCCCTCACCCCCCTACTGTCTCTGTCCATTGGTTATGCTCATATGCATGCATACAAGTCCTTTGGTTGCTCTCTTACTCCTTCTCCTCCTCTCCTGCCTTCCCTCATAGGTTGGACAGTCTGTTCGATGCTTCTGTGTCTCTGGTTCTATTTTTGTTCATCAGTGTATGTTGTTCATTATATTCCACAAATGAGTGAGATCATGTGATACTTATCCCCCTGTGACTGGCTTATTTCGTTGAGCACCTTTTCTTGTACCTATTGGCCTTTTGTGTGTCTTCTTTGGAAAACTGTATTCATTTCCTCTGCCTATTTTTTATCTAGTAGTTAGTTTCTTTACTATTGAGTTGTATGAGTTCTTTATATATTTTTGGTATTAAGCCCTCATTTGATATATGACTTACAGATATTTTCTTTTATTCATTGGTTGTGTTTTAATATATTGTTGATTGTTTCTTTTGCTGTTCCAAAACTTTTTAGTTTGATGTAATCCCAGTTGTTGACTTTTGCTTTCATTTCCTGTGCCTTTGCTGTCACATCCAGGAAAATTGCTGCTGAGACGATTGTCAAGGAGCCTTTTCCCTATGTTTTTGGGTAGGGATTTTATGGTTTCCAGTCTTAAATTAAGGTCTTTAATCCACTTCAAGTTCTTCTTTTTGTGAGTGGTGTAAGACAGGCCTTCAATTTCATTCTTCTGCATGTGGTTATCTAGTTCTTCCAGCGCCACTTGTGGAAGAGACTATTCATTCTCTACTGAGTATTCCTGGCTCCCTGGTCATATTAGTTGACCACTGACTTAGAGTTTCTTAGCCTCTGTGTACTTACTGGTTAGTAGAGGCAACCATACAAAGAAATTGCAATGAAAATATAAATTACAAATAAAGGTAATGCAGGGTGCTTTAGGAACTTCAAGATCCAGGGAAGGTTTCAAAGAGCATATTCTCAAGTTATGTTATTCTTAGCGTGGAGGAAAAAGTAAGAAAGTTTTTCAATCATGAGCAAATATATAGCAGCATGAAATGGCATGGTACTATGGAATGGGGTGTTGTGAAAATACATATTACCAAAGGATTAAAGTCTATGGTGGAAGATGTGAGAGATGTACTTGCAGTTATTGTCAAAGATAATGACTGGTCCTAGATATCATGTTAAGGAGCTTGGGTCTTGGAAAAGCCTCCAAGGGGATTTAAATGGCAATAAGATTGGTGAATTCATAGTTGCTGCGTTAGAAGCTGGGAGACTTTGTATATTAGACAAGAAATCATGAGTTCTAACTGCAAGACATAATGATAGAGATGAAAAAAGAGTAATTTAGGAGATTAGCAAATGATTGCATGTAGATGACAAGCTGGGGCGATAGTGCAGAGCAGATATAAGGGAGAGTAGTGGTGAATTGCTGGGTTTTGCCCTTGGGCAACTGGGTGAATGGTGGGACTGTAAGTTGAGATAAGGAATATAGTACAAAGCGTGAATAATTACAGTAATGGCGAACATTTATTGGGATGTCCCATGTTATTAGATGAGAAAACTGAGTATGGAGGGAGGACTAAGGTTCCACTTTGCTAAGATACAAAATCAGGCATTTTGGCTCCAGAGCTTAGCACTTTGTCACAACATTATATTGTAGCTGTATTGTGGTCCTTATTGATGTAAATAAGAACATAAAATCGGACTTCTTGTAATACTTTTTATCTCACAAAGTAACACATATAGAATGATACTGAGTGATGCCTTTCAGCATTACAGTAAAACCTCGATATAATGGACTAGTACAGGCAAGGGAGTGTCCATTAGAGCCCAAGTCCATTATATAATGAAGTAGGTTTTCCAAATGTATATGTAAAAAAATTGGCAAATTAGTTTACCTGTTTTTACTTATGTAGACATGTTTGTGTAATTAAAATTTAATATGTATGAAAAGTTTAATTTCACACAAAAGCTTTCTGTATGTACTACTGTAATTTTAAATTTATACTGAATACATCTAGTAAAAGCTTGGGTTCACCAGTCACCGTGAATAAACAGATGCACACGGCTGGGGCGCGGCTTAGCTCACATCGGAAGTACTGCAGAAAGTCAGGCCAGGTGACAGCAGAACCAGTTACTGTGCAGTGTGATCATGTGCTGATCAGTCCCGAACATGTTTGCCAGCGCTAACTCTTGGATTTAAATATGTAGACTTCAATTATGTAATATTTATTTATGTCGGTGAAATTACTACAGTGTTTCTGAACATAGGACCTGTTAACTAAAATTTGTTAAAAATAACAGTGAATTAACAACATAAAATAAGTTGCTAACTCTAAGTCAGTTGTTAATTTAATTATAAGCAAATCTTGGTTTACAATTTTAAAATTAACAGGGTGTTAATTTTCACATATGACATACATACAGACCGGAAATTTTGTCCATTAAATCCAAAGTTCATTAAATCGAGATCCTCAAAATTGAGGGTTTATTGTACTTAAGGGGCTACATTAGTGGGGGGAATGTAGCACTAAAAGACTGTCAACTTTAATAACGAATTGTTTAATCTGTGCAGAATGCAAGAGCATTGAGTTTACCAGCAATTGATTTATAAACAATCTAGCAATTGAAGAGTTTAGAAATAGGCAATATTTTGAAAATTGCCCAATTTATAATTTTTTACATTTTTAACAGAAATGTGTGTGTGTGTGTGTGGGGGCGGATCTCAATGTTAAAGCTGTTAGTATTTCTCTTTATATAGCTATGCTAGTGTCCTATATATGAGAAAAACTCAAATATCAGACCGGAAATGGGAAGAGAGAAAGCAGAGACAGTGAATAAAGACAGCCCTGAAGGAATGTTTTTGGTGGAATGAGAGCAGTGCCCAAGTGGAGGGCACCTTGCAAGGGAGCACTGACAGCCGATGAGTTTTTAGCAGGAGAGAGGGTACAGCAGATGAATGGGTGTAGGAACAGATAGCTGATGGATGTGATGGTGGGAGTGGGTGGAAGGTCTCTTTTATTTGCTTTTCATTTTCAGGGCAATAAGAGAAGCAAGGTTATGAAGCTTTCATCTTTCCTAGTCCACCTCTTGTCAAGGACTGATGATTTCCATATTTCCAGATCCAGTGGTCACTTCCTTTTTGAAACACTTTCTTCACTTGACTTTGACCATTCCAACTTATTGCCTCTCCTCAGTCTTCTTTGCCTAGTGTTTCTCTGTCTTCTTGACTTCTAGAGTAGGACTCAAAACATGGACTGCTTTTTTCTCTGTAGTCTTTCCCTAGGGGGTCTTATTCAGGCCCACAACTCTGAACACCAGGTGTATGATGATGACCCCCAAATATGTATTTCTATTCCTAACTTTTCACTGGTCTCTAGACTTGAGTAGCTGACCATGGAATATCTTCCTAGATATCTCACTTTACATGTCCAAAACGTACTTTGATTCTCCTTCCCCAAATTTATTGTAGTCCTTATCTGCCATCTGTCTTTTTAGTGAATGGCCACTCTACCAGTTACTTCTTCCAGTCATTCAGTTCTAAAACCTCAGGCATTCTTGACCACTCTGCCAATTAGCGTTGATGGTAATGCCTTCAAAATCATACATTTCTTCTTTTCACCAAGTCTATCATGGCACTAGCCACCTGTCAGCTCTTACCTGGACAATTGTAAAAGCCTTCAGTCAGATATCCTTACATATCCTTGGCCCACAGTGAGTCTGTTAAAACCTAAGTCAAATCACATAATTCTTCTGTCCAGAATCAGTGTCTTTCCATCTCACTCAAATATAATCCAGAATCCTTAGTATGGCCTCCAAGGCACTGTATATCTAAGGCTCCTCTCCCCTTTAATTCTGCCACTTTATTATCTTACGCGACTTTCCTCTTTTCTCACTCTGCTTCTGCCAGCATGGCCTCCTTTCTGGTCCTTGAACATGCCTGGCATTTCGTTTTCTCAAAGGATTCTGTGCTTGCCATTCTTTTCGCTTGATCAGCTTATATTCCTATATAATCAGCATGACTCCCTCTCTCACTTCTTTCAGGTCTCTGCTTAAATTTTTCCCTTATCTGAAATGCCTTCCCCTACCACACTGTAAAAGCCAGCATCTCTTCTCTCAGGAACTCTTGGTCCTCCTAATATGCTTTATTTTTCTTCATACCAGTTATTACCACTTGACATATTATAAATTAGTTTATCTTTTTTTCTCCTACTAGAATTAGAATGTAACTTCATGATGGTGGGAATTTTTTTCCCTCCCTTTTTTTTTTACTATATCCCAGTGCCTAAAATAGCACATTTGACACATAATATTTGACACATTACGGGTATTTAATAAATATTTACTGAATGGGTATTTAATGAATAGCTTCCTGTTTATCTCTAAATGGGTAAGTTAGTCAATATTGATTTGAGTGTTTTTTCCCTTCCACAGCTCAATGGTCAGTTCTGTTCAAGGAAATACATATCCCAGCCAGGCGTCAGTATATAGTCCTCCTCCTGCTGCTGCTCCTGCTGATGTCACTATATACCAGAATGCAGGAACTAATATGTCCCATGTGCCAAACTATAGTTTAACATCATCAGCACTGCCTCAACCAGGAGGCAGTCAACAGCCACCTCAGCCACAGCAACCATATTCTCAGAAGGCTCTGCTATAGGATTTGGGATTCCTCTTTGATCTGCTAAATGCCGCTGACAATGTTAGAGATTCTTTTGATATCTTAAGGTTTGTTTATCCTCAGCTTATAGGAATCTGTCGTGGTCAACAAGTTCAAATATTCAAGATTATGTTGTCAAGAAGGTAGAATTCTCTTCAGTTTGCATTGACTTTTCAGAGGTTCTCCAACCCCCCATCTCTCCCAAAGGAATGAAACTACTTACAACATTTAATTCTTTTCATCATATGAAAGAATTGATATAAGATTATTTGTCTCATAAAATTACCTGGTCTGCAAGAAGTCAAACTTAACAAAAATTGTTGTGGCAAATATTATGTACATATATTGCTGTGTAACTTCATTAGTGGCCATTTTTGAATCACAGTGGTGATCATGTGAATATATTTAACACTGTTAAATTAATTTACATTGCTATTTTATTTTAATCATGAACAACTACCATGTTTCATAATGTTTTGTGTAAATTTAAGGTAATTACACTATCCTTTTAAAGTGTAAGAGAACAAAGTTGTAGCATATTTACATGAAAGTATTATATTAGTGTTTTGGTTTTACATTAAACTGAACTTTCCTTTTACTGATTGTGAATTAAACATATGTACATTATGTCTTTCTGTAGCCTCTGCATACTACTAGCTGTCATCACACCAGCATACAGTAGCTAAATTTTTGGTGCAGTTATAACAAATAATGTTCCCTTTGAAACTTTTACATTTTGGCATGATATTTCAGAATATTGTGGGACCATGACACAAAATTAAGTTAGGATCATGTTCTTTATATCTTATTTTTAAAGAAATAATGTTGATTTACTTTTTCCTAGTTGAAGATAGTAATTAGGTTTATAAACTGTATACTGTGTTTATTGGTGGCAGTGACACCAAAGATAGAGGCAGTGGATAGAAATTTGTAAACTGGAAAGAAACCATAAATAACACTACATTCTCAAAGTCTCTTGTAATTATTTAGGATATTAAAAATTGATTCATTTGCCTTATCTCACTACTAGTCTTTTAAATATGTCTTTAACGCATTGTATTCCTTAATTCTTCATTAAAATGGATATTAGCAGATGTTTCAAAGTAATCAATATTCCTGACTTTGCTTAACAGTTTGCATGTTTATTCTTATCTTTCAAACTGGGTTATGGGTTTGTTCTCTCTTTATGAAGTTCTAATAGAATTACATTGGCTTCTTATTCAGGAATTTTTCAATGAACACTTTTTTTTTAATCTACATGAAATATGTTTTCAACTGACATTTAAATCTTCTTAAATAGTTACAATTTTCTTGGTTGTGCTATACTATTATTTAACACTATTATTTAAACAACTGAAAAATTGAGCTCAGCATCATATTAAATGAGTTGATTTAACAAATTTCATACCATAAATGAAAATTTAATTTGTATTTTCTAAGACTATTATAATCAGATAACTTGTTTCTTTCCCTTTGGACAAATGATTCCATCTTTGGCAAGAAAACTTAATGGTGATCTAATTATAATTTCAAATTTAAAGCACTGTCTTCAACGTAAGTGTTTTACCTGGTGTTGTGTTTTCTTGACTTTAGAATATGTCGCCCTTAAATAGAAATTTTAAAATTTGAATTCAACCTTTAGATTAAAAAATTTATTATATTGTTTTTTGATCGGCATTGTCAAATCATAATCTTTATTTCATTTTGAATATTCTAGTTTAACTGATATACTTTCCCCTATCATACTATATTTTTCTCTTTGTCTTTTGATAAATTTCTGTTTACCAATGGCAAATGTATCATTTCCCCATTTTATTTTGATATTCTTAACGGTGTAAGATCAATTACATATTCTCTTATTTGCTTTTTGCCCTGTAAAAGTCAAAAGAATGGTAAAATGAAAAAAAAGACCCTTATTACAATGCATACCTATTATATTAGTGTGTTTATAAAGGTTTTAATGATGAATACTTAAAACTGACACATCAGTTTGTGCTTTTAATACCAGATGGAAAAATTCCAATGACAAGGAACCACTGGGTTTTCTTCTTTTTGATGTCATGGAAAGGGCAGAAATAGGAAAGGACCAGTTAGCACAGTGATTTGTTCTGAAACTAGTGTACGAGCTATACTTAAAAATATATTTCTTTAAAATATGACAGTCTTTTTTTTTAAGGAATGCAATTATTTATAAAATGAACTAATTAAAATGTGAATTTCTGTGAAGCAAGTTTGACGTCTTAGTTTATTTTCTTTATAAAGTTTGAGTGTGTATCTTCTATAAACCAGTGACATCTAGTTGGAAACATTCAAGTTCATTTACTATCTAGCATAAATAGCCAACAAACCCCATGGCCAATAGGATGTCATAACAGAGCAATGCCCTTCGCCTAGGAGCAATGCTGTGATTTGACAGTCGTTTCTAATTCTGTGGTCCTCTTCCACTTAGCTGTCTCTCCTCAGTGAGGGATCTTTTTATGTGCCTAGACATTTCCTTCTTTTTATTAAAAACTTCTGGAGCTTTGTTTCTATACCTCTTAATTTTTGTATTTAAAATACTTGACAACTAATATTATTTTTGATATAGCTTTCATATATGACATATATAATTCAGCTTGAGAATATCTTTAGTCCAAAGCTTCAAGTTTATGTAAGACACATTATTGCCCTGTTCATGATAAACTATGAACTATAGTTTAAGATTTTCACTCTTGTATCATTTTCGTGTTTTTTTTTTAAAATTCTTTGGGTGATTAACTGCTTATACCCCTTTGAATAAAATATATAGGAGAAACTTACCTAAATCTTAAAGGCCTATGACATACTCCTATAAGTATGTCATCTTTTATTTTAGAATCATGACTTGATTAAATGTTCTTGTCAAGTATCTAGATTATTTTCTATCCTATATGTAATGACATATGCCTCCTGGTTTTTAAGCAAAGCTGTCTGAGTTTTATATATATTTTCTTAGTATGATCTTTCTTTAAAATTACAAAACTTAGTAAATTTTTTCTGAAGCTTTCCTAGCTTCCACAGTATATTTTTTCTTATGATGTTCTAGAGCATTTTAAATCTCAATATTTAAAATCTTGAGGCACATGCAAGATTTAAAATCTATTTAAATATTTAAAATCTATCTCCTTGCTGAACAAAATACAACATTTTATTGGCAATAACTTGTGGTCATACTGAATTTAGATGATTTTCAGGTTCTAGCTTATGCTTATACTTCCCACTACCATTATTGTCTGTTTGCTGCTTCTTATAGATGCAGAGAATTTCTGATAAGGATTACATATTAAATGAATAAGAATCAACAAACTCCTGAACAAAAGCAAAAAGTACTGGTTTTAATGATCTTTTGGTGATCAGAGACTCTTAAAAAATCATGTTAATTTTTTTTAAAACAAGTTTATTTAAACAACATGACACTTGACTTGAAGGGAAAACTAGGATTAATTTTTTAGAGTAATTTATCCCTACTTAAAGACAGATTGCTCTACATTTAACAGCTACATACAGAAAAGTTATAAAAATGTTCGTGGTTTTACAATGATAAATGAAAAGCATTAAAATTCTCCAATCAAACCAGGTATGCAAGAATTTTTATGATGTTCTTTTTTTTATTAAACTGAGAGCAAAATAACTTACTGTAATATAAAGATAAGAGCTGAATGATCATGCCACTAATGGAGAAGGGTGTTTCACAGAACCAGTATTTTTCCCATCCCATCTCCATTTGATGTCAATCAAAACATACCATTGCCCATCTAGTTTAAAAAAAAATGCAAGTGCTTGTGCATGTACATCAGTTACTTTATGTACGATAAAGGAATGGGAAAGGGGAAAATGAAAGAATAGAGAAAACTATACTGTAGCAGTCAGAAGTGCTGAAACCCAATTGCAGTTTTCTAACTGAGAATGTCTTCTTGGTCTGGAGGCACAGAGTTCTGGAGTAAAACAGGTTCCTTTTTAGTAGACCCCTCCTGTCTGCTGCTGGAACACATCAATTGTATCTTCTTCCTCCATTTCCAACCGTGCGGGTGTGTCTGTCTCATTGATTGGCTGCCCGTCAAATGGGAATCTGATCTGCCTCATGACAAACCCTGTCGTTCTCAATAGGCTTTCCTTAGTTTCCTAAGTGTTGTATGCTTCTTAATTTAAACTGCACCACAGAACGAACCACCCTGAGGATAAATTTTCATTGGTTTCCAGAGAAGCGAGTAAGGGACAAGGAGAGAGAAACGTTGACTGGTTGCCTCTTGCACGTGCCTCAACTGGGGATTGAACCCACAACCTTTTGATGCACGGGATGATGCTGCAACCACCTGAGACACCTGGTCAAGGCAGAGAACTGGGTTTTAGCCCAGATAGATGTTTTGTCAAAAAAATATCTTGCTAATGTATGATCTTGGGCAGGTCCATCAATTTCACTGGGCCTTCTACTTATTTATAAACTGATGTCGTCAGTGTAACTGCATGATCTTTCGTAGCTTGCAGAAATTCTGTGCTTCAGATCCTCTGCCTCTGTGTACCATGAATATCTGTGCCGTTCAGCCTGAATAGCTGACTGATGCCACTGAACTTACTCTCGTAGCTTAGAGGAGGAAAAGGCATGGGAATGGGGTTGAGGACTCTGGTACTGAAACTTGTGATTTCTAGCCAACCTCCTACAAGTAATCCAAAGGTAGTTTATTTTCAATAGTAAACTCTCAAGCCTTTCGTTTAGGTTTGATCCTACCAGGAACATCTGCATTTAAGGTACAAATTCAAATTTGATAATGCTTTCACTTTCTTGGTGCTGATTTGGGAGAAACAAATAATTACAGCTCTGAAGCTGTTATGTTTTTGTATATTGCTTCAAGCTAAAGGAAGTAGGTAGCATCAGACTATGTGAAATTTTATTGTTCTTGATTTCTTACAGGCAAAGAAGTACTCTTGGTCTTATTGACCTGTTAATGGTGATAGAGGCACCATACTACAGCCATCCACAGTTTTCTAACACCTCAGGCAATCTGCTTAAATGCAGATTGCCTGAGGTGTTAGGAAACCGTGGAAACTAGCAATTTCCATCTTTGGTACTGGCTATGAGAGTCTTTCTGTAATATTCCAAAGAAGGTGCAAAGTCAGCATTGGCATTTTTTTCATCACAAATATTTGGCTTAGAAAAAATGCCATTAAATGTTGGCTAATTAAAAGTTACTAATATAAGTAAACATTAGCTAAAGAAAGGTTAGTTTTTTCCTAACCAACAACTTTTTTTCTTACATGTTAGTTACATGTATTTATTATTTTACATCTATATTAATAAAAGCATAATATGCTAATTAGATCATGGAGCTATGGCGGGCGGGGGCTGAGGCTGAGGCAGCTGCCTCAGTGGCAGGGCCTAAGACCCTTGCACGAATTTCGTGCATCGGGCCTCTAGTTTTTATATGAAATAATTACCAGAATAAAATGTTTGTTTTTAATTTTCTTGTTTTACTTTAGAAAATTAGATACCGTGCTTGCAGTAAAAAAAATAAAAATAAAAATAGTTTCCTAAATTACTTTGTTATGTAATGGAATCTTATAAAGAAGGCTTTATCAGGTATTGACTAAAGTAAGCTTTTTTAGTAGAGGGGGAAAGACAAATTGTTTTCTAATTATCACTGGTTGTGTTATGTTCTCCCTGTGTAAGCGGGATAGTCACTTCCTTAGAATCTTTTTTGCTATCTCATAATAAATTTTTAAAGAATAATTCTAGGAATGAATCCTGGTTGGGTTTTACAACCCCCCTCCAGAAAAAAAAATGTTTTTTATGTCATAGTAAAGAACAATTTTGTGCTTCTACAGTTAATGTTCTTCTTAAAAGATTACTTAGATTCTAATTGGTCTTAGTGAAATGTTTTAATATCAAAACATCAGGATAATTTTATTCAGGTCGTTGCCAAATACTGGTTTACTTGGGGGGGGGGTGGTATAGCCACACCAGTGGATTCTCTTCAGGTTAAATTAAATATGTATTTGAAATATATAGACTTCTGGTATCTGGAATGAAATGAAATTAGGCTGTAAGTTAAATTATTGTGCTTTTGCTTATTTCTCAAAACATATGCCAAAGA